TACGCGACCAAGAAGGATCTCGTAGCGATCAAGGGCATCAGTGAGGTCAAGGCGGAGAAATTGCAGCAGGAGGCGTCCAAGATGATCATGATGGGCTTCAAGAGCGCCACGGAGATACATCAGACGCGGTCGAATATCGTCTACATCACCACTGGTTCCAAAGAGTTGGACAAGCTGTTGGGCGGAGGTATAGAAACTGGCTCTATTACGGAGATCTTTGGAGAGTTTAGGTCAGGGAAGTCTCAGCTGTGTCACACCCTCGCCGTGAACTGTCAGTTACCCATCAGCATGGGTGGTGCGGAGGGAAAATGCCTCTACATAGATACAGAGAATACTTTTAGGCCGGAAAGATTGATTGCGGTGGCCGAGAAGTACAAGATCAACGGACAGTCCATTCTCGACAACGTTGCCTGTGCGAGGGCGTTCAACACCGATCACCAGACCAAGTTGTTGGTTCTAGCCGGTGCCATGATGACAGAGGCGAGATACGCCTTGCTGATAGTCGACAGCGCGACCGGTTTATATAGAACCGACTACACCGGCAGGGGTGAATTAGCGGCTAGGCAGAATCATCTGGCGAGATTCCTCAGAATGCTGCTGCGACTGGCGGACGAACACGGGATCGCCGTTGTTATCACGAATCAAGTGGTCGCGCAAGTCGACGGCGCCGCTAGTATGTTCGGTGGCGACCAGAAAAAACCGATCGGCGGTCACATCTTGGCACATGCGAGTACAACGAGATTGTACTTGCGTAAGGGCAGGGGAGAAACTAGGATATGTAAGATATACGATTCGCCGTGTTTACCAGAGAGTGAAGCGACATTCGCCATAAACCCGGACGGTGTAGGCGACGTACAGGAATAAGTTTAAATTGAGTCAGTGTAAGAGGAACACGATGGATTATTACACAGAGTTTGATTTAGTTTTTAATGAAATCGACAAATGTGTTTGGCGCATTGGATATCAACCTATGTATCTGTTAAGGCAAAGATAATTAAAGGGGCAAATGTCTCGCGCGTTGAACGTTAATTTATATAGCTGTTAAAGTGAAAGGATAATTAACGAGGGATCAAGAAAAGAACAATAATTAATTCTACGCAATCGAAGTTAATTGTTAAGTTAATTGAAAATAAGATTATATGTGCATAACGTGTCTTTCTTAACGTTTCTATATCTTTCTTAGAAGATTTTATATGATATTGTATTTCAAGGCTTTAATAAATATAAGATGTAATACATTTTTTTTAAACGTGACGGTATCTCTTATTATAATTTATACGAAAGGATTTATATTACAATTTATACGAAAGGATTAAAGATGTTTTACTAATCACACTTATAGAAAATAAGTATATCTTAAATTATTTCTAAGATATTTTGACGATTTGAATTTTATTTTAATTCTGATAATTTTAATTTTTAGACGCTTTAATTTTGATCACTATTAAAATACGAGCCAAAAAATATTAGGCCTGTTGTTTTTAGCTGAACTTCTTGTATAGTTCATCTTTCCTCTAAGTCGAATTCTGATTAATGCGCTTGCGCGTGTTTTCGTCCGCGTAAATCCTTGAAAGTGACTCTGTCGAGTGTTGACGACTCTCCGATGTCGCGAATGGGAGTGCGACGAGTTTTCTCTGCGTATTCGTGAAGGATTCGTGTTTTGACACGCAAGCGAGAGAGTTATCTGGCTCTTCTCAAATCTCCGTTCCGAGTAACTTCAAGGAAATCGACGAGAGTCCGAGGAGGAAACCGCGAGACTCTGGAGAGTGCTCTCGCTTGCGTCTGTTATGTCGCTGCCCGTGTGGACCGAAAAAGACACGTTCGAACTTATTAGACTTTACAAGGAGAACGCGCCGTTATGGGACATGAAGCTCGAGGATTACAAAAACAAAGAATTAAAGGCGAGATTAATAAGCGACATCGCGACACGTATGAATATTGCGCCAGAGGAGATTAACAAGAAACTGCAAATGCTCAGGAGTCAGGTAAGTAAACGAGATATTTTGTAAATGCGGTTGATTGTTCATTTACTATATCGACCGTCGATGGTTTATCCGGTTTATCGCAATGATATTTCAGAATTGTTTAATTTTAAACTGTTTATTGTTTGAAATTGTGGAATAAGAGCATCTTTGTTGCAATAGTTTTATTTAAATAATTTTCTATCTTTAATTATCCTGCTATTTGCTCTAGGTATCTCGAGAAATAAACAAACTAAAACTAAAGAAAAAAAATGCAGACAGTGAAGATAAAATATATGTCAGCGCCTGGAGTTATTTTTCAGCACTGAATTTTTTAATTCCTACTGTAACAAGCAGATCTAAACGTTCGGAAGTTATGGTAAGTTGAAATATCATTTATAAAGAGCCCATTTCTCTAATGCAGCAATTTCAGTCTTAAGAGATAAGTATTATAACATTTTTGTTATATATTATTAATATATATCATTATTATTGTTTTGTAGATTCAAGGGACTTTAGAAAAGAAGGGACGCAGCAAGGTGAAAGCAGAATCAAACAAAATAGAAAACAAAGAGACATTGAAAAGAAAACAGGAAAATGGGAAAGGACAAAAACGTTCTTTCAAATCATTAGACGTCGTTAACAAGGAAAAATCGAAGCGTCTATGCGTCTCACCTATAACACGGAACAAAGATGAGCGTTTCGGCGAGTGGGTAGCACTAGAATTACAAAGCCTACACTCGGAAGTAAACAAAAGAGTATTAAAGAGCGAGATTAGGAAAGCGATATGTCATATTGCTGATTTAGATAATGCGGATATTGTCGTTCCTAGCACATCGCTCAATTCGTCACAGTCTTCCACATACACACCAATGTGCGAAATAACTAATATAAAATCCGAAAACGTATATAATAATACTTGCCAATAAGAGTCGTCAATTTAATTTATAATTGTTTTTAATACAAAAATCTTTTCCTGAGCATTTTAATATTTATTTTATATTTTACATGAATGATTACGTTCAAAAATGAATTTAATGGTTGTAACTATAAAGCAAGATACTGTTCCAAATTGTCTAAAATATCATAAAAAGATAGATGAATTATGTATTATATATAAATTATTGACCACACACGTGTGTATGTACATATTTATGTTAAAAATAAATTTGAAAACATTGTATCGCCTATTTCAGCTTTCGTTAATTGTATTTTTCTACAAATGGCATGTTATTTCATAATTCGTCACATATTTATGCGATAATTATCATTCTTGTCAACTCAATTGTAACAATAGACTTTCACAGCATCATTGATTCGTAACTACGAGGACGTTTCTATTGGCCGCACTAATCAATTTGTAACGGGACAATTCAATTTACATAAGCGCTTGTTAGACGAGATCAGACTTAGGATATTATGCTTAGAAAAAACCTATAAAACTGTAAACTATAAAATATTAAGCTAATCAGTTCTTTTAATTGACACTATGCACGTATTTGTTCAGAGTCTATAACGCGATTTATTTAGGAAAGTATCACTTATCAATCACTTTGGAGGCACTTAAGTTGCTTAATCGGCTTTAATTGGTCATGGATCCATAAGATTCACCGCGGAAGCTCGGAGATTTAATTGGTACTCCCCGAAGAGCATAGCCGCTAACCATCTGTACTGTTCATCTTTGGACGTGCCTGCCAAAACATTCCCGAAATATGGACTGTCCTTACATCTGAAAGATAATTAAACATCAGTCAATTCTACGAAGGATACAATTAAAAATTTATAAGTATATCTCATATTAAATTATAATACACAAATTTATAATAAATTTATTAATGGAGATTATTAGTAATATTTTTACCTTGTTGGTTTCTTGTTCTTCGTGATAAACGTGATAGACCAGCTGCGGAAAGGAAGCACATCCCTTAAGTATTTTTCAAGAAATCTATTAAAATCGTAAAATGTAACTTTATGCTATATTTACCCCATCTGTGGATTGCGTTTAGGCTCGTGTCCCAAGTACCAAATAATATCTTCTATCTTCCACTCATGAAGTTTCACGGAGCACACCTTATCCTTGTAACAACAGAGCTTCGCCTGGCTGAACTCGAAGAGGTAACTCTTCAGGTTCTTCGTCCTGGTGTCTGCAAATTTAAGCTCGCCGGAGATCGTCATAGGCGGCTTTACCTACACAAAGGGGAATAGAGAGTGAGATAGGGGGGAGAGAGAGAGAGAGAGAGGGGAGGGAGAAGAAACATAATTAATTTCAATTAGACCATATCCTGTTTTCGCAGCGCATGCGGGACGCGTCTTTCTTTTCGCCTCTGGAATCACGCAATTTGATCCGCATTAAAACTCACGCGCACTTTGTACGGCCTTGAACCCGCTCTGCTCTACTATATAAATTTAGATCGTGGGAACTTATAGAATAATCTTTGCATATGTGTGTGTGTGTGTGTGTGTAGAAGCTGTGCTAACAGTAAATTTCACCGTGATACGACATCAAGAGCTTTGTGCGAATTTTACCTGTTTTGTCTTTAGTACACGTACCAGAGGCACGATGTCCTTGTACAATCGGTCTTTCCTGAGGACGAGGACGTTATCCTTCCTGTCATCCGAGTCCCAGTATCCCCATCTTGCCACTGTTTCCAGGACACGTTCGCTGTGATGCAACGGTCGCTCCAACGCGCCGGACAGAGTATATTCTTCTAGACACAGCTCGTGAGACGGCAAGCTGGCTTTCTCGGCGAGTTCCCGGCACACGTCGAACGCAGTCTTCTGAGGTCCGATCTAATTAATTGGTTAGTTAATTAAAAATAAATAAACGAAAGATTGTAGCTAAATTTTAATCGTTAGCAGGAATTCAGAATAACAAATTGTCGATAGTTATTGATTTTAGCGGCTTTCCAGCAAGTAACACAAGTCGACACAAGTGTCGTTTTGTCTTTGTTACTCATTGCCAAAAAAGAAAGATAGAACGACGTTTGTGTCGACTTGTGTCGCTTGCTGGAAAGCTCCCTTTGCTTCGCTTTACTCTGTAACGAAAAGATATTGCGCAGCGCAGAATGGTTCAGCGCAGCCAGCTAGGGAATCTATCACAGAATGCCAGAAAAGGATCCTTACGGTGACGTTCACACACTCTCCATTCTGCGACAGGATGTATATCCAGATCTTGAGATCCCCCGAAGGCGCACCTCGCGGTCCATTGTTGGACACATGATGTTTTTCCAGAACCTCTAGCATCTTCGCTTCCTTGGCCAGGTCAGCCGACGACAATTGATAAAGTTTCGGATACAGTTTGATGAGGTCACCGATGACCTTGATCTCCGCCCGGTTCCACTCCTCGGCGCTATTCTCTCCGGCGTGCATCAGAGTCGGACCCCAGATTGCCGAAAGATTTTCGACGGTCATCAGATTCCTGGCGCTCTGCTGACTGAGGCCGTGAAGATGCGCCAGGATCCGGCGGAGCGTCGCCGACGTTATGGGACTCAGGGTGGACAATAGTTTCCGATAAGTCGCCACTCTATTTTCCTCGCTGGTCGATTCTATAAAAAGGGAAATGGATTTTTTAATCTTTTTTGCAACATTAATTCTTCAAAATTATTTTCCGTTAATCCCAATATCCTAGAATCTTCACCGCGTCTATTTTATATGAATTTAAGTCTTTTTTGTATGGAACATTTGTTACCTGAGGCGAGGCAAAGTCGGTCGTGTATATTAGAAGGGAACAATGGATCCGGCAAGTCCCGAAGAAATCTTCTAAGAACCGTGGCGACGTCGTGTTCCGTGTACAAATTCCTCGTTATTTGTGTGGCCCATGCATCTCGTCTAAAAGCTTCTAATAGTTTTACTACGGCACTGCTCGATCCGCTACGACGATAAATACCCTCCGTCATCATACCTGAAAGATAAGATTTTGTGAGACATTCAATTACAATCACATAATATCGCGTTTACAGATACTAGAATTTAATGCAACCATAATTCTTTGGAGAAACTTGATTATCATACAGAGTGCTTCACCTAATATAATTAATTCTAATAATAGCGGTAATGCGAATTTACATCGCGCGGTATATCATGCAGGATGTAATTGATGATATAATAAGAGAAATACTTTTATTAATTGTCATGCATTATCACATAAAAGATGCCACGTAAAAGAGTAAGTGAGAGTAAAAAAAAAATGTGAAAATTATTTTCTTTTTTTATCGTTTCCAGGAAAACTTGAAGTAATTAGCGACCGTCAATTACAGAACATTATCGAACACACATATACAATTCTATACGATATTATTTTCGTTCGACGATACAAGATGATGACTCACCATGGGCATAGATGAAGTTGACGCATTTGTCCAAGATGACGGGCACATTGTCCTGCGTAATCTGTTGTTGGTCTAAAGCAGGGCCGCAGTTCGTGGCCGCTTGATAAAGAGCGTGTCGCCAAGCGGTCGCCTCGTGGGTTCCCGACGTGGCAATATGCAGGGCGCCGCTACCCCCGGCATCTGCAACCACCACTGGAACAATTCCGCTTCCGGAGATCGGCCCTTCTTGATCTCGCAACACTGCAATGTCACAATATTGCAATTTCAATAAATACGTTATTGTTAAAGTTGCACGATAATAATGATAGAATCTTGTTAAGTGGCAATTAAATTTTAACAAAGACTTTTCATTGATTTCTTTTAAACAAGAATGATTTTTTAATAATCATTCAAAAATTATTTTACTAATATTTAATATTAACGTTATTTTACTAATATTTAATATTAGCGTAACATTAATGTATTAATAGCATTTGTGTAAATCAGAATATATATCTACGGATGTGACTAATTTAGGATGCGTTGCATTTTTAATCAAACAACTCGTATCGCATATTGAGTCACTGATAAGATGACAACAACCGAATTCGCTTATTACCGCCGCATTAGATCACGTCTTTCGCGTTTCAGCCGTAAGATTATAATTTGGGTCACGATAATTTCAACGATCTGTCGAGAAAGATTAAGGCTGAGGCAAGTCATTGATCACATATGAATGAAATATACCGATAAGGATGTAACAAAAATAAATTGATTTAACAACGTAACATCAATTTATTAAAGTAAATTGAATTTTTCTTTTTATGTATTTTATCTATTTCACGTCAAACTCATGTTTTTATGTTATACACAGTGAGAGTTTAATCTTATATTTGTAACACAGCTCGAATTATAACATTTTCAAAGTTTTCAGTTGCGACTTACCGATGCAGCGCGCTTTCCGCAGGTCTACGTGTTCAAAGTTCACGGCGAACGTAGATTCCAAGGATTTCGTGTAAATCAACGTTCTTTCTTGCAAGAGGAGCCAAGCTGGGAACCAGGTACCTGTTACACCTTCCTAAAGGGATACAAAGGATACATTACACCGTGTGAAAACAACACAGAACATTTCATATTTTTCTGTCGACGACGAAAAATTTCAACAATTCACAGTGGCAATGGAACGCCAAATATTCAGAACGTCTGCGAAACTGTGGAGGAGGGATTTGCATGTCAAAGCATATAGGTTTCCGCTTTCGCAAGCGCGAACGTTTCAGCAGTTGAACACTCAGGATTTTGTGAAATATTTATTAATATTTGTATCTTTAAGTAAATATTATTACAAACTTAAATTATGTTGATATAACTCTGTCTTAAATAATTTCTTAATAATTTTTAATCCGTGGTTAAAAAGAACGCTGATACATTAATGAAAAAATATTAAATTCGACGTACCTTAAAATACGACTGAGGTAGGCTTGCAAATTTATAATGATAGATTAATATAAAATTGTAAAGCACATAATAAATGCGAAAGCGATCAACTCTTAATCATTAATTGCGCATAGAAATTTTTGTACGCTATTTTCATTACATTTATCATTTTATTAATTTGTTGCTCTTCTGTTCAAAGGCATTGATTTCATTATTACGTTGTTTTTTTTTTAATATATACCTTTAAGTAAGCCCAACCTGCTCTGGTGAATTCGGCGGTGTACTTCGTGGAGAAGGTCGGCGTGGTCGCCTCGAGGATTCTCTGAGCCCAGATTCGTCTCTCGGCGATGCCTTTCGCGTAGAAAATGTGCACGCTCGGTCTGCCCGCGCCGCTAATCGCTATGCAATGCACCGTCTCACCGTCCATGGTCCTGCACACATTTCGAAATTGTCTTCATCAAGTAATCGCGAGTGACCGGCTGACGAGCTAGCTACATATGATGTGCCAATCGTATGATGAGTCAAAGGGAAGTAAAGATATGTAGCGTTAAATACAGATTAGACGCATTGACATACGAGACGAAGAAAACTGCGCATTTATGAGAATCATGCTGTTGTATCAGGAGCTGACCAGAATTTCTTAGGGAAAGGTTGGTGATGGAAGAGCTGCTCATTTCATATTATATGTATGATACGATATAATTGAAATATGTACAATATTATACAATTATAAATTATTTTATTTTGCATGATGTTTTAAAATATCTCTGTGTAATAATTAAATTATATATTATATATTTTATATATAATATAAAAATTTAATTATTATCAGATTACATTTGAGAAATGATTCTCTCTCCTTTTCTTCTCGTTTAACAAAGAGGACCTTGAGACTTTTCTTGTAGAGTGAGAGAGCGCGATGAGAGAGAAAGAGAGAGCTGTAAGCCTGGGGGAACGTTTGCCCGGCGTTAACACTTGGAGTTGGATCAATGTAAATATATACCAACGAGTGAGTCACTTTATTAATCGAACAATGATACTAGATTCAAATCAAAATTATATTTTCTAACATTTATAGCCGAGATAAAACGTAGGACATCTAGATTATCTTGTACAATAAATAGATTTACCGACTTTATCCTTTTTGATAAATTAGATAAAAGTAATGGGTAATAATGGAATAAAGCGAATTTTGTGGAAGGATGCGCAAAGAAATGTTTAAAATTGTGAAAATAATTATACAACGTATGTTGCGTTTACGTAGTAAAATAACAGACTCACTTAACATCCTGAAGCAGATGAATACTGTATATTGTCTCTAATTCCACGACCTCTTTCAGCGTAGACATGCTCTTGTCAGCGTAGAACGATAATTTCCGATCGAGCAACGCTGTCGCTCTCGGCACGAGGTCCTTGGCCCTCTCGATACCCATTCCAGGCCTCCATAGGAAATAACGACATTTCTAATTAATACTCCAATCAATGCGGTCGCTCAGTTTAAGCGATAAATTATTCAAACGTTAAAATTAATTGCAGTCGGTTATTAAGAGTCTTTCAAATCTCTTTCTTTGATAATTTTTTTTTTTAATACGTTTCTCTTAAGCGCTCCTATACATTTTTTTTATAATGAAACTTTTAAGCAGTATAATTTTAAATTTGTAAATCGCGAAATTCTTGTTGAATTATTAGAAACAAATTAGTCAACGATTTGACCGTTCGATTTGATTGTTAGTTTTGTAGAAGAAAAGTTTCGGGATTAGAGACTCATGAAATATATTTCTCACGCAAGTTCATATATTGCCTCTTACCTGTACACTAGTCCCCTGTGTGTGACCGGATTGTGCGGAGCATTCACCTTCGGCCTCTCCATTCGTAGCGACCTCGAGCCGGACTCGGCGATGTGCTCGCGAGTCCTGGATAACAGTTTACTACCACTCTTAACGAAACTGATCACATTGGGCTTGATGGCGTGCACCGTGGATTCCTGTCCTAGTTTCTTCAATTTTTGTATCACGCTCACTTTGCGATGATCCTCGGCAAGTTTCGGCGTCCCCGACGAAGGACTGGTAACGCTCTCCTCGTCGTTGTTGGCAAGCGTCGTTGTCGTCGTTGTCACAGTCGTAATCGCATTCGGTTTAGGAAGCGCAGGACCCTTCGTGGAAGGCTTCCTGGGAGGAACAGCGGGTTGCTTCTTGGTCACCAAATGCGCCAGCTTCGGCAAGAGAGCCGGATTTTTGCCCGACGCTTGAACCTTGTCGGGTTGCTCCACACCTTCCGCCACGTCATACTCGTTCTTGGGAAGGGAGTCAAATCTCTTGGGTGGTTCCGGTGGTGTCACATTGATGCCGGGATGCGCCAGGTCTTCGTCATCTTGCTCCTCTTCGGCGCTCTCGCGAAATTCCAGCGTACTGTCGGCGCTGTCGTTGGTAGCCAACAACGTCTCCAGCAGCATCATATCGTTGTTCTCGTAATTGCTATAAACGTTCTCGTCCTCGGATGTCCTCGCGAACGGGTCGAACTCGAAGAGCACGGACTTGCTGCTCTGCAGCCTGGTGTCCGAGGGAATCGCCGTCGGCTGTTGCCGACAATCGACCTTCGGTGGCGACAGGTTCTCATAGAGAGAATTTTGGATGGAAGCCTGGCTCTCGAAGGACGCGCAAGAAGTTCGATCTACCGGCGAGATTTTCTTCTCGAAGGATTTCTCCAAACTCTCCTCTTCTACGCTGGATATCCTGTCCACCTCATCGACATTCTCAGCTCTCGTGCCCGGTGTGGCGTCGTAAAAGGTCCAAGAGTCTGACCTCGACAGCCTTTTGGCAGAGATTTCAGATTTGTCGTGCGATAGGCTTACATTGACGTCGGACAAGTTTAGACTCTGGTCGGAATCGCTAGTCTGTTCGAGGAAGAAAGATTTAAGAACGAAGGATAAGACTTTTTTATTTATTTACCAATCAGATGGAACAATAATCATTTTTACAAGCGTCTTAATTTTGCCAGTGCTTAAACGCAAAAATCGGTTCTACTTATAATGCCGAGAATAATAGTAATATTCTATTGCAGAATTCCAAAAGGAGAGGAGGCAATTAAAGAGATTTTACCTGGTTCCGCGTGGAGCCGAGGACGTTGAAGTCGGGAAAATCTCGCTCGATCTTGTCGGACACCGTGGAACTGAGTGTGTCGTATCGGCCGCTACTTCCCGACGTGACGGACTGCAGCTCGTCGTAGATAGATTCGTCCGGAAGCGGGGGTGGCGGATAAACCGGAGGCGGCGGGCTGTGCCTGCCACCGGTGGACAGATCCTCTTCGTTCTTCATGCTCTTCAGATTGCCGCTCAGAGGGCTGTAAAATGAGATGCTGCTAAAGATGTTGTCGGCCGGCATCGACACGCATCTGTCCTCCTCGACCGGATCTTTGTGCTTTTTCTGGACGCCGCCCTGACCGACCACCACGTCGTCCTGGTTCAAGGACGACAGCCGCCGCGTCAACAGATTCTTCACCGACTTCTCCAGCCGAATGCTGGCGTTTCGCGTGCTGGAGATAACGGCGCGTCCCTTCACCGTCATCTTCTCCGAGATCTCGTCCTTCAATTGGCGCGAGCTCGTGCTGAGGCTGCGAAAGAACTCGTGGTTGCCGCGAGTACTATCGTTGGAGGCCGATTTCAAATCACCACTGCTAGTCGACTTTAAATCGTCGCTTTTCTCAGACTGACCGGACTCGCTGGTCGGACTGCTGGAATGAGTCGATGGCAAGGTGGTCGTCGGCAAGAGTCTTCGAGGCGCCGGTATCGGTTTGCTCTCGGTTACTACCGATCGCGGCTTCGGTATCGGCTTCACCTCCATCACGGAGCTTGATTCCTCCACTGCGTAGTGGCGTCCCAGTAAAATAAAATTATGATATGTTCCGATGTTAACCCATTGATCCTGAGACATATATGAGAGTTCCTCTGACTCTTCGCGGCTCGAATTAACGCAAGCTCGAACTGGAAATTTTTTCCCGCAATTTATCAGGGTCACCTAGATATATTTAAAAAAAATATGATAACAATTAAATTAGTAGTTCAGCTAATAGTATTAGATTCTATACATTTTTACATTTTTTTTCCTCTGCTTCAGAAACTGTAATTTTCGTAAGAGAGGACTTCTCAAATGAAAAGCGCGTTTTTCTGGTGCCATTATTGAAGCTAGTCTCTATTCTAGTCCATTATTCGTTTTCAGAACTAATCAAATTGTTATTTCTCCGCAGTGAACGCGTGACAAAACAAACGAGCGACGCAAACAGAAAGGAAATTATGAATTGTCCCAGGGTGAATCATCGTTCCGAAAGCCGATACCGTCACCCATAGTTTCCGGCTACTATTCCAACCGACTGGTGGCGAGTGAGTACACATCCATCATTCCATATCTGTCTCTTAATTCTGAGCCAGACATCGATCATTATCGCATCTTGCTATCACCTTTAGTTGTATTTAAAATAAAGTAAACGCTTAAGCATGTGAAGAATGTTACAAGAATGGATTCTCCAAGCAGCTAAAAATAAATCAAGTCTAAAATTGAGAGTCCCATGTCGCTGACCTTGTTACACATTATGTTAATTCTTTTTTTCTGTTTCTTTCTCTCTTTTAAATATTACGAATTAACTTTCTCAGGGAAAGAGGAAAAAGGTTGCAGAGAAATATGCGGAACAGTGCTACGCTAAGAAGAATCTATTACGGAATAAAGAAGCGGCATATCTGGCGCGTTTGTTCCAATGAAACTCATGATTCATGATCCACTCACATGATCATCAGACTTACCAGCTTCTCGTCAGATCAACGGTATGAACGATAAGTAACTCCTTATCTTCTAACTGATTCTAACAGATCGAAACTTCCTCGAGATAAGAAAGTAAATTTAATAGAGAGAGCACTGTTGAAGCAACGAACTACTGATTGAGGTAACAAGCCTTAATGATTACCTAATCCGAAATATCAATAAATCGATAATTTTCCAAAAATTAAAAAAACTTTTATTTAACGACCAGTTATATGGTGCAAACATTACGATTGTGGGTAACAAAATTATATAATTACGCAAGATGATATTTGTAAATGTGAGTCGGTCTATTTGAGATACATAGCTCATTATGAAACATGTAGAAAGTGTTGCATTGATGTATATATAGTTATCGTATCATGTGAGCTCCACAATGGAGCTCGCAAACGCGTCGCCAACAGTTCGCGCACATTGTCATTAATTTTTCTTATGTCAAAAACACCTGTAGATGCCTCGTCGACGAGAAGTCTAGCTGCGTTTCTGTGCGTACAAATTGATGGAGCTACCTCGACAGAGAATAAAAACAAAAATTGCGGATTCTTCGGGTATGTAATGCATCGCGCGCAATTAAAAATTACATATGTAAATATATAAACATATATATATCGTTTTTTCAGAACGGTGCATAATCGAGAATCATCGTGGAGATTACGATTTCCGTTGTTTGTCCGTTAGCAACAAAACACACAGGGTCAAAAACCTACCTCGTCGTTGTCCCACCGTTGTGGTGTACCCGATTGTCCCTTCCTTCTCTCGAATCACACCGCTCCCGTTTTCTCGCAGCGAGTCTCACTATCTAAAATCACAGCATTTCGTTTTTTTCTTCTTCTTCGAACGAGAGTTTCTTTCGAATTAAAGGGGTCCACGTCTGTTTCCCGATCGTTCATCTGTATTCCGTTCACGATGTGGGTCCACTATCTCTTTTCATTAGCACGTGACTCATTCACGCACCCGCGCTCACGTACATAATTACACACACATCATCTGTAATTTTTCACATTTGTATTTATGCAAATTTCACGGATTTATACGAGTGAATCATGGGGAAGTATGGTAAATTTATAAAACTTGTATATTAAATAAAAACGAACACCGTGTGTCAACAACGAACACCGAATCTCTCCCTTGAAGCTGTAGAAGAACATTCGATAATTAATGCCAGATATTATTTCTATATTGATTATTTTATATTATTTTTAATATGAATCCAAATTTCAGGACAAAAACGAATTTTTACGAGAAAGGGGAGCCTAGTACGTGCTGGTCGAGAGCATTTAACGAGTTAAAGAGACACTTTGCGCGCGCGGCAACGAGCGGAGAAAGACGCGCGCGCGTGCTCCGGCCACGCACACACACACATGGACGGAGCGCAGGCACATGGACACAATAAGCGAACTGTAGATTTCACAGTTTGTGAGCGCGCAGGCCTTCTCCTTTCTCCTCGTGGAGCTCGACGTTTCAAAGTATATTTTTAGAAATGTTTGAACCGCGGGATGCTGGGCCGCGTTTCATCAAATGCGGATCAGACTTTTGCGTAGAACTGCCGACGTTTACGTACGTGAAGATAATAAAAATGACGTGAGAAATGATAAGATAAAGGAGGCGGAGCAACGCGTCGTCGTCGTCGTCCACCCGACGGCGCAGCTCGTGCCTATGCACTGACGCGGCTCCGCTTTCCGTCGTCTCCGTTGCCCACCACATCCATCCGCCGTTTGCTCCTCTCGAGGTGCCCTCGGTGGTGGAAAAAGGCCGGAGAAGGGGACCAGGCCAACGCCATCGCAGGCAACAATTGCAACGGCCACCAATGCAACTGCACGTGGAATGTGTTATTCATTTTCTGTCTAAACTTTTTACCAAGCCGTACAACGCAGAATGCGAAAGTCTACTAATTAGCAGAACAGATGTATAGGTCCCATATTCAAATTTAAAATTCTACAGTAAAAATTGTACAGACCAATTATTAACACATTGGATAAAAACAATTACATTTCTTTTTGGTGACGTACACTATGTGGTTATTGAAAATTTTGCTACAATTCACACGCGATTCAATATTCAATTTGCCATCCATAATTTCAGATTAATTAGCCTATTTAATAAAATAAATGCAACTTACAGATCCAGTGTCGCGGTGTTATAAATTATCACAAATTTAACTAAAGGAAAATGTGACAGCAACTGCATATGCCACGCGAAATGTATAGAAATTTAACAATACGGTGAATAAGGAGAGATATTATTCTACGAAGAATATTTTAATGAAACCTTTATTAAGACTTTTATCATGCCAAAGACAAATGACGACTTTGGCTATACAAACAGGTAAACGTTTTCCCGGCGAGAGTCCTCCATGCAGGTGCAAACTATACAATATATCGTTATAAAATTTTATAGATTAAGATTTAAAAAAAACATAACAAAATTGCATACATGGATCTGATGTCACAGAACAGAATACAGAAAGAAAATACTTATTTATGTGTTTGCTTAAAGTTAAATAATATTTTTACTTATAAAAATATAATTTCTATTTTTTAAACGACAGCTTATTTTGAGCGATAACTATGCGAGTATCACTGTCACTCTGACGACATTTCATTCGTTGATTTTATTAAACTAATTATATTAATTAATAAGATTTTAGGATAATATATTTGAACGGAGCACTCATCAGTTGCACCTGCACCTATCGAGCGACTTGCCTGGGTATCTCTACTATCTTAAATCACAATGGTGACGACAAGTTTAACTATTTATTCGTTAATTAATTCCTTAAGATTGATCGTTACATATAAGCAGGTACACCCGCACGCACGCACACGCGCTTCAGCAGCCGTATACATAAAAACGCGTGACGAAACGATTCGATGATTGCCGATGATCCCTTGGCGAATACTCAAGGACGGGATACAATGTTACATCACGGATTTAAAAATATAGTAATTAGCAAAATAGTCGATGGAACTTGGAATGGTAATTGTAACAGACGATAGGACGTTTCTATTAATTTTAACTGTAAAAATTACCTTTGCCATGGAATGATTAAAAAGAGGAATACAAAATTAGGATAATTAAATGGAGAGAGAGAAAATTAACATAACTTTACCAAATTAATGATATTTGAGATGACTTTTGAGATCATCATCATTCACTATCGAGAATCACACGAGGAAATTATATTCCCGCGGAGCGACTCGCTTTTATTATATAATTCCCCTTATCGTCATAAGATTAATTTACCGCGATCGATTCGATCGAGTCGGTCGCGCAAACCCGTAAAGAGTATACCTATACGTTTTCGACGTGACGCCGAATACTTAGGCCATAAAATCGTAAAAAAATATTCAAGCGCGAGTTCGTAGGCGAGTATCTGGTGTAGATGTGCCTTGCCTTCTTTTTTTCTTTTCGAGGGTTTGAGGCAAAAATTGGAACGCGCGTTTACTTTCGTATACTTTGCAGAAATGAGTGAGATCGCTCGCGGTAGTCTCGAGGAGTCGAAATCGCGAGTGCGTGCGTTGCGTAGCGGCTGCGTAGTATTTTTTTTTTCGTTTTTATAAAGAGGAACGATCGACGGAATATCTACTATTATGTTGGAACACAGAGAGACAATCGTTAAACAATGCGACCAGCCCTCAGCCGATAACGCAATTTTTTGCGCGCAAAATTTTTACGACGGAAATTAACAAACGCGCGTAATCTGTTTCTACATTTATAAGGTATATTTTTGGAATGCCTATGGACGATCAAATTACATCATCGTAATTAAGTAATTTTTAATTGAGCAATTATTCCTCGCTTATTTTGTAATATGAGACAATTGGTCCGTGTACAACAAAAACACATTGTTTGTAATTTGACATACTTTTGCACTCTTAATTGAGACAGAGAGACAATAGAAACAAAACGTTTTGCGAAATTTATCGGGTAAGGGCTGAGATAAACGATTCAATCTCCTCTCTTCGCTTTTATCCAAATTAATAATAGCTTTATGACACCCCGTACCAATCTATTTTGCAAATAAAAAAATATTTGGTTTCTCTACTAAAAACCCTAATTATATTAACAAATATATGTATTTGTGGAGAAAATAATGGCAAATTGTTTAAGTTATCAAATTCATGAAATATATAGGTTTCAACTCTGTAATATTCGTATTACAGAGATATCATTACAGTCTTACAATTAGCATAGGCAAAGTGTATCGAATTAAAAATTAATATATTATTATGTATATTGCAATAAGATGATTTTAATAATTAATCCGGTCACGTGGCGACGGATACGAGGCATCGTGAATCTGCCATGTAATTCCGAAATCGTCAAACTACAATAATAGTTCTTCGAAATCGTTTACGACTGCAACATGTGATTCGAGAGCAGTAGGATAAAGAGACAGAGAGAGTGAGATAGAGAGAAAGACAATGACATAGAAAGTTTAAGAGATTAATCCGAGGAAAAAATCTTTTAGGCACACTCACACACATACACGTACATTTATATAATTATATATTTGTGTATATATTATGCGTAGAGCGCAAGAGTCTTTATTTTTTGGCAAGCAAGACGCGGCTTCACACTTTTATTCGAATTCCTGTCGGAATCGAGGGTGATGTGATTCGTTCATTTTTTTAATTCTTTGCGCTTGAGCGTTGTTTGCGGAAGAGCAAGACTAACTAAAGATATGTAAATGAAGGCAATGAATTGAGGATATAAGACAAACTGGCATATATATAACGGGAAAAACATCAAATAATATAAATTTACTGCTTATATGAGACATTTTTTCTTGGCTTAGAATAATTATTAATATTGTTCTCCGTTTATTACAGAATATCGTTCACGCTCTTAGTTATTCCTGAAACGTAACGATAAAATTTAGACGTGAGAAGTTATGATATTAAAAAGAGCCGAGTTAGCGCAAAGAATTAATTTATAAAAAATTACACATCTATTTTCGCATTAATTTCGATCAGATTTCGACAGATGTCGATTTTCTAATCGCTTTGTACTCGCTCAGCCGATCAATATCTTGCAGAAAAAATCGTCGTAGTGCGAATATTCAGATCACCCTCGTAACGCCACCATCGTTCAGTATACGGACTCTTAAAATTGCTTATTTTTTTCTTCGTACGTTTTCGCGCAGTGTTAGTTAATTATAATGTAATCGTTATGTCATAATTTAATAGCAAATATATTATCACATTTAGATTGTATTAATTTTTAAGACGACCGCCCGGACGTTCCTCGACGAATTTTTCGTCGCCTCGCGACTTTCGTACCGAATAAGAAAGCCTATTAATGCCCAATTATTTTACGATTTTTTTCTATAATAGGAATAACTATGGTCATTTACAAATACAAATGAAAATCTTGCGATGTGGAATGTTTTACTTTCAATAAATGCTGCCCAGTTCCCCAAGCAACCGCACTGTTATCCAAAGGTCAATATCTTTGCATTGAAACACTTGACCCTCTCGACGTCGTTGATAAGATCTCGCGATGGCATAAATAACTGAGTTGCTCTGTTTCGCAGATTCCAACAATGAGCAGTTAAGAGAGCACTTCAATTCGCACTTAAGGGAGCACAAGCGACGACACTCGTCGTAGACACGTCCGGTACGGTATATGTTAGATTTAAATCTAAGAAACATTAATATAGAATATATTATCGTGTAGTTTATATAAGGTATACGTTAAGACACTTACTGCTACAGCAAAAATTCAACAGTTAAAAGATTGTAACAACTAGTTTATGCTCGCAACGAACGCGGAAGCGGACGATCAGATTGAAATCCTGCGTTTGCGGACTTTTGCGAGACTCGCAATCTTCGCTGAATCTTTGAGACCTCTAAAAAAAAAAGACAAAGGATTTCTTAAAAAAAAGTTCTAAAATAATAACGCAACTAAAACTTCGAAATTATATTTCTATTTAATTAAAAAGTTACGCCTGCATTATACTTATTAAACGTTTAAATATACTTACAATTAGTTATATCTTAAGTTTTGCGATAAAAGTGTTTTTAGTGCCTAAGGTATTTTTCCTCTTTCTTTCTTCGTAGGTCAGTCAATTAAACAAAAGAGGCTAAAGATTCGGTCTGGGATGTAAGGAGCCGAGTCACGTAATTTTCCGCTAACGAAGAAATCTGGTCGCACGTTTCACATCCGCAGCAGCTTACACCCCTCGCGTATCTTCCTTCCGTAGAACATCGTTCATCCCTCTTATAATCGGGGGTCACTTTGGCACGCATTTATTTTTTTTTCTTTTTTTTCGTAATGTTCGGCACGGCGCCGCTGCTTATCAGTTATGAGCTCGTAATTATAATAATGCGAATAAATCTCGGGCAGCACCTGAGATTGATCGCTCGGACGATACGATAAAATGAGGTGCGTTCTCGTTAGGCGCTCATCTTGGAAAACTACGTTTTCGCAAACTACGAGAAACGCCAGAAAACGTGTCGGCCGCACTGAAATTTCCCACGAACTTTTCGCAAGTCTCTCGTCTCTTCGGAACTTTTCCTTTATCTCTATTACATATATAGATTCTTCGTGACAATTTTCCTGACGTACGACGTACGGAACGCTTTACTCGAGTTGTGCTATGACTTTTGACCGAAATAAAAGATAAACGATTACTCCAAGTAAATACTAACGGCGGACGGAGCCAGTCGCGCTAATTGCGGACGTGTAATTAACTTCTGAAACCTCCTTCGTGTCATGGATAATCATTGTAAATTATGCGCGTCGTGACGCGCACCGATAAAACTATTTCGTGATATAAATATTCTGATCGTGCTAACGCGTACGGCATATCTTGGAAACGACTTGTAGATATGCGCGGACGAGAAATGGAAAAAAGCAAGTCGCCCTCTTCAGTCGAGACAGCTTTGTGTAAAATCATGTATATAAAAAGTCGCATTGAGAAACCCGTTGCACCGTAAATGCGTTTCTTTACGAATACAAAATATACCGATGTATATCAAAAGCAAAATAGCACGTATACCAGCATGTATAACTCATGATTTTCGTTCGGCATAGTCGAGTGAATTATAGCGCACACCCGGTATATGTTAAACCATCTGCTTTCGGATGAACGGGCCTACATCGTTATGTAAATCCGGAATAAACGGTTTCTTTTTTTTTACCAACTTCCACGCATAATCGTAATCATCTTGGCTACTATAGTAGTCATCCGTATACCTAAAAGATAAAATATAATTTAATATTTAATATATATATAATTATGTAATATAATTAATTAAAATCTAAATCACATTCGCTCGTAATTACGGCTTATTTCAAAATTTATGCTACTTGGCACGGAATGACCTACGTTACTCGCGATACTTCTAGCGAAGATAACACCGTCAATGCGAACATGTAATGAGCCGGAAAAATTCAGTCGCTAAATGTACAAGTGATAATGATAAGTTCAGAGTTCGAAGAAAAAAAAACTCACTTTAACGTTCGACATATGCAACGCGTTCGAATACAAAGCGTCAAAATGTGCCGGAGAAGTGAAACCTTATGCCGTGCAGCTTCGGCTTCGCATCATCGTATACCTTGTAGTTTAGCATAGTATTGTATAGTAATGGCTATAGCGTCTATATAGTAGAACGATACTCTTTCGCGAGAAATGTCATTCTCGGCGAGACGACGGATCATCGTTGCCGTGTCATGGTGTGCACGAAATTCTCTCGTGCTACTTGACGTGAGACGCCGTTTCAAAATCGTTTATCGACTACAACGTATTTGTATGATACATTAAAAATTGACACATATTTCCGACAATTGCAATCGATCTCGTTCGCTTTCTCCCCCTCGCACGAGCAAGCGATCGATCGTCGGGGATGATTTTGGATCCTAAAGAGAGAAACGTACGCGAGACACTTGTATCGGTAGCGAACGGGTGCGTCCAACGAGCTTAAATTTTGCAGATGACAACAATTATGCTCTTTTCTTTCAAAAATGTGCTGTACGTTGTATAGAGCGAACAGAGTTTTAGTATAATTTAAAGACGTATGATGTAAAAGGAGTATAATGATATAAGAGTTCTATGGAGATGTTTTGAAACATCATCGTCTGCAAAACAAAACGCGTTAGGCTTCATCTCGTTATACGCTCTCTATCTGTCATTATAATTTACTTGCGTAATCATAATAGTGCATCGTTTTGGTATTGTTAATCGTAAATAGCGCTAACGTAAATGGTAACAGCAACTCAAGCAACGATAACAATGTGTTCGTGTTAACAAGTACTTAACAATTATATTTATAGCATGGTGATTCGTGCAGCGCGAGCGAACTATATACTAGACACGTAACGTTAAAACGAATCTTCGTAAAATAGCACCTTTCCATCCCGGTTGGGCTCCTCGCGACATGTCGTGTCGTGACTCGGTGCTTTTATTGATCTCATTAACCATTGGCCTGATTCGATCGAGTCTCGTGCATCCGCCTCGATATACATGCGAGTATTGCGAGCTCTTGCTCGAATCTGTTGAAGAGCATAAATGTATTGATCGTTGTTTGTCTCTATATGATGCTAAAAATAAAATTTTCATTTCGGAATTGAATACCGATCATAAAATCAAAGCAGGCAAAACAAAAAATAAAATCGAGATTAAAATAAATAAAAATAAATAAAAATAAAAACTACAGCAAATTCGAAAAATATTAAGAATGAAATTAAACTTAAAGATGTAGACGCTAATAATTAATTAACGATCCAATAGTTAATGGGAAACAATAAAGCATCGTAAACATTTAGCACGAGAATCCCCGGAACAGTATAGAGTTGCAGTCTTAAACTTTGCTGAAACTTGTAATTTCTTTTCTCTTTTTTTTTTAGTCACGGCGGTCAGTGCGGGAAGAGCGTAAAAGATGGACGTCACGTCGCGCCGTGAATTCGTTTCTACTTTCAGTCTTTCTCCGTGATCCAATCAATCTACGATTCTAGCACCATTTTGCAGCTTTCTCCCGTTCGTCATCGATCGATGCGAACGGGCTGTCTACCGACCGTCATCGAATCGGCTACATAATGTAACACTTGGACGTTTACATAGCTAATACAAGATCTCGTTAGAATTCAAAGGTTACATTAAATTATCGACGTTCGCATGCAATAATCTATACGTTTCCTAACGTCTAAAAGGGGAAGCCTTGCCGATGCTGATTTGGAAAACAATCCGTTTTTCTTGGATTGGGAAACAGTTTTTCTTTCGACTTAATTTCTCTATTCATGTCAATTTCGTAAATTATCTTAACTCTCTGCTTCTAGTTTACCTCTTAAATTGCTTTTTTTTTGTAAAATTATGAATAATTCTTAATTTTTCTCGGATTTAATTTTCACCTCATCGCGATTCTCCTTCGTTTGTCCGCCAAGTTCAGCACTTGTACAAGCCTTCCTGTAAATTCTAATATATCTAGATCGCAGTATTGACAAAATGAGGACGTATAAAGGACAGGCGAGTCCCAGATTTCTTTTCCCGCAGGTCTCTCAGGGCCGTTGCTCTTCTCTTCGTTCTTCGGGGGCGTTTTCGCTAGTTGGTCACGTCCGGATTTGAGGACGGCGAGGATGCCGGGCTCTGTACCAGGTCGACATCGGTGGTATCCCTCGAGGAGGCCAACAGCGAGGGAGTTATTAACATGCCACGCGGACTGAAGGTGTCGCAATAAAGATTCTCCTTTTTATGTACTCGTCGTACGTGGCTGCGTAGATTGTCACGACGTGCGCTTCGGTAAGCGCAGTGCGGGCACAGATGCGGCTTCTCGCCCGTGTGCATGCGACGATGTTGTATTAGCTGTAAAAGTTCCAAGATATAATTAACATAGTCAATCCTTAATTTTTGCTTTCTTGTATATATCGCTCATTTGCTACAACAATAACATAACTCAAAAATTGTCACTTTTTGATAACTGTTTGCAATATAGCTAGATATTTTTGTTCTTCTACAAATCAGTTATTGCATCAAAATCGCATTTAAAAGTATAATGTTGAAAATTTTAATGATTCAAAACATTCAAACTTATTTTTTGGAAAATTTTTTTTTCTGAGTTATGTCATTGTTGTAGCAAATGAGCGATATGTATGTATAATTAACATCTCTGTGGCAAAAACAAGTAATATTTCAAGTACCTTTTTCAGTTGCACTGTGCGGAAGATGCAGATATCGCAGCAAAAGTACCGGTCATCGCGATGCCTTCGCATATGCCTGCTGAGATCGACCTCGGACGATCGGTCGGCACCGCAGACGGCGCAACTCACCCTAGTCTCCGGCGCGGTGCCTCTCGCGTGCGCTCGCAGATGTCTTTGAAATGCCTTCTCGATCGTGCATGCGTACGAGCATAGCGAGCACCGATATTCCTCCCTCTCGTACCTGAGAACATTGCGAAATGGTAGTTGAAAGAATGCAATAATATTTTCCCCCCAAAAAGAGATACATTTCTTTCTTTTATTCCATTCATTCCACATCTGATAAGAGTTTTATTCCGTAATAAGAATAAAAGATTCGAAAGGATCTCTTTTTCGATAAGACACAGATTAGATGTAGTTAGTTATGTAAAATTGTTCGAGTACCTATACCTGACGCGTTGCAAGGCCAGCGAGCGTTTCTTCCCTGTAGGCGTCATTCCCTGGGCCACATGCGCCGCCACGTGGGTCTCCATCTCGCACCTGCTGCTCGTCGTGAAGTCACAGCCCGTGGACGGACACCTCTTGGTCTCCCCGGTCTCCGTGCCGGACAGAGCGGGATGACAATCGGCTATGTGCTTTCTCAAAGCCGGTCTCGTCGGTGCCACCACATCGCAGGAGCCGCACGAGTAGCCGCGATGAACGCTGCTCACGTTCGGACTGCTGCCTCTCGATCTTAAACCACGTAATATTATTGTCACCAACTAATGTAATAATAACAATGTAATGTCCCACAACTTTGCGATCTTAATTTCAATAGCGAATTTTATGAACTTGAAGTTAAGTCCTTCTTAAGGTAAAATGATCTTTAAGGAAAACAAAGTATAATTGTGGCTTGACTATGATCAATTCTATTCATTCTACATACTTTTCAGTGTAGGATGAGTGCTCGCTCTCGGAATCACTGTCGGAGGGAATATTGGGAACTTCCGTCGCTTCTAATGCCGCAGTGGCGGCAGACAGTCTGCCCAGCATCGCTGTGTAAGCACCCAGTACCCAGCCGTTCAGAACAGGAGTTCCTTCCTGAATATTAGTAGTAAAATATTAATAATATAATGCCGACACACACAAAGTCGGTGTATGACTGATTATGTTACAAAAATCGAAGAATCGGTTTCAGATTCGAATGTGCCAAGCAATTAAATGTTCATGCATCGGATAACATAGTTTCGCGGACCGACCTTGTCGAGGGCCAAGCATGCCATCGGATCGGGAAGCTTCGCGATTGATAGATTGTTGTTTGCCGATCGATGTGAACTGTTGGTGCTACCGGTATCGCTCTCGTCACCGGCATCTTCGTTGTCATTGCTTTCGTTTGGCACGCAAGTCTAATCGGTACATGCAAAAAAACATATCCTGTGGCCCTGTGCTTGTATTACAATTAAAAATGTTAGGCATGAGTTTACTACATAAAAACTAATATAACTTAAATTTCAGGCTTCCATTTCTGACCAGAGATCTCACAGCTTTATTCAAAACTATTTGCCAATTTTTATTTAATTTGAAAAAATTTTCAATTATAAATTTTTTTATATATTAGTATTTTTTTGTTCCAATCGGCTCAATATCGTGCCATATAATAATGAGACAATTGTCTTACCTGGTTTTCATTTTGATCGGCTTTTTCGATGTTACCTTCGTTGTCGTCGCGCTGCGGAGGGTCTTCATCTTCGCCGTTCGTGCTCTTCTCCGCGTCCTCGGCGTCCTCGGCATTGGTGGACGCGATCGAGGCTGGTTTCGTGACCAGCTCCATCGGGACGTAGGGTGGCCCCGCCGCCGTCAGCGGCAGCGGCAGCATGTCGGGCCGGTGCAGGGCGCTCAGGGCGAACGCGGCCCTTGGCAGGATCTGCGTCGCGCCGGAAGGCAGAATCGGATGCCTTCGGGCGAGACGCGGGTCACCCCAAAGTTCACCCGCGACGTGAAGACTCCAGATCCCATATTCCATCTGGAACGTTACGATTGCCTGTTGATAGGATCTGTGGGATCGGTTCGTAGGATATAATCTATATCTGTTTTACAATGAATAAAAAAAGTATTCGCACACAAACACGTGCACGTTGGCTTCGAAATTAATATGATGTAAAAAAGTGTTACACGTAAAAAAAGCGTGCTTTCCGATAAAAACCATTGTCCAGCGATATCTTTCTTTCGGATGGAATAATTTCCAAGAGATATAGGAGACGTGCAAATATACTATTTTTATTCACTATACATTTTGTATCGGTGGAATTGATCGTTGATTCGAGAGTTCACGATTAAATTGGGACAAGCCAATTTTTTTTGTTCGTTTTTTTAAGATATAATTTCACGTGTGAAGTATAAAACTGATAAAACTCAGTTTCAGAAATCGCCCCAGTATTTGGTGTATTTACGAGGTATCGGTATATTATTGGATTGTCAGTGAGATTACGTGCGGAGAAGTCGAATATAAAATTAGAAATATACTCTGAACCTAATAAAGATTGAATCGCTTGGAAACAGTGCTCGAGTGCCTCATTATGTTTGTATGGACTGCACGGTATAAAAAGGGTGAAGGGTAGGGAGCGAGAAGAGAGAGAGATTAGTGGTGGCCCTCGAATCAATACTTACGTGCAATTTTCAAGCGTGCCGAGTATTTGTTATCTATATATAAAATCGTTATCTACATGCGCTTTCTATATCGAGCTGCATTTAATTAAATCGTTAAGAAATATTTAAACGTATGTATCAAATCTATTTGTAAATAATGCACGATGCTCATTTTTTGTCGATTATGTTTCCCCAAGCAATTTCGTAATTATTTTTCCGAGGGATCTCGTTGGGCGAAGACATTTTCAGAAGCACGTCAAGAGGCAATAGACCATCGGGGGTCGGGGGTAAGTAATTCGATCTCGAGTAATTCGAGTTACGAGGTCAAACGTCTCGAAGCGTGCTCGAAGCGGGGATAACGATGCGGAAGAAAGTGTCACGCGACATGAAAGATTATCTCCCTAAAATTCTCTCTTCCTCCTTCATTTCCCTCTCTTAGCACTCTTCTGAAAACTTCCGAACGAGAATTATGCGCGTTTCGTATGTCGAATTTTGCTCGTCCCAAGATATTTCATATCGCGATGCCCCATTATCACTCTCGCAAAGTTGTTTCCACGCGGATCTATACCGCTCGAGTCGTCAGAATAGCTCAACTTTCGATCTGTATCTCCTCAAATGTGAGAGACTCGCGGATGTTCTCCTCCTCGTGGATCATTTTACCTTCGCACCAGTCGTCGTAAGCCACGTCTTCCTGATAGAACGAGAACAAAGATGAAGCTTAAAGAGATATATTTGTAACCTATATAAACACAAGATCGGGAGATCACGCGAAACAAGCGAAGCATTCGACGTTACGAATTGTCCTAAAGAGGAACGTTCTCGTCTCCCTCCAGTTTCAATAGACAAATGAATATCTAGCTCCGTCCACGTGCGTTCACCCAAAGACTCGGTGACCGGGATCACCCCTCCAGATCAGATCGAGGTATTCGATTCTGGCGGAAAATCAACTGTCCCCGATTCTGGCGGAAAATCAACTGTCCCTATTTCGTTCTGCGAGCTACCTTTACTGATCCGTTAATTAATTTTCTCTAAATTTAAATCTTTTTACATGGCATTTCGAAGATCAACAGATAAAGTGTGCAGATTCCGTTAATATCGTTTCTCAAAGTTGTTCAAGAAATGAAGAAGAGGGGTTTTCGTGGACTGTGGGGAGATCGGCGAAAAGATATCGCGTCTCAAACGATAGGAGGTGAGTCAGGTGAGACGGTCGCGCGAATAAATCGCAAGAATATCGAGGAAATTCCCCCTTCTCTTGGAGCGGGGAAGGGGGGGCGCCCCTATGTTGGCCTACCGCAACAATTCGGGCCGATCGTCATTACGCTGGAATCATCCCCCGCCAGTGCTCTCCCTCTCGTCCACCGCAAGGCCGGGCCACCGCCGATCTCCACCTTACCGATCGAATGAAGGTTCACGCGCGTAGCAGCAGCTTAGCACCGCCTCCCACGCTATACACATGACGATTACGTCGACGACGTCGATGCCGAAAAAGACCGAGGAGATGAAGACGAAGAGATGACGATAACGATGCCAGGTAACGTGAAGAGGAAAAAAAAAACGTGGCGTCGCCGCGATCCGCGAGTACCGGAGCGGTGAAGAAAACGGGTGTACCGGGTCCCGGATACGTGTCGCTGTAGAGCGAACGAACTCGCGAGATTCCTGACCATTGGACCGACCCTCGTGCATGCATACTTTAGCATAACGTTCTCTATACAATATCCAGAAAGAGGGAAAGAGATACGGGGGGGGGACGGGGGACGGGAGGCAAGGGGGTGGGGCACCGCCGAGGGGAGGAGGACGTTCCTCCTCGTTGTCCCCCGCCGGCGGCGTTCGCCCCTTTCTCTCACTCTCCCTCTTGCGCGCGCGTGCCCTCTCCCTCGCATCGCGCACCGGGGGCCTCAGCAGTCGTCCTACCCCTCGCGCTGACCCCTTCCCCCTGCGCCCCGCCGCCATCGCTGCCACGAATCGATTTGTTATTGTTTTTGTGTCTGCGGTCGTCGCGGCGGATGGAGTGAGCGGGGTTATATCGAGGGGTGGATGGGCGGGTGGTAAGTGGGGTGGGGTTGCCGGTGCCGGTGGTGCTGCTGCTGTTGCTGCTGCTGGTGGTGGTAGTAGTGGTGGTGGTGGTCGCGCTCGAGCTTCGAAGCCTCGGCTTCGGTTTTCGGACCGGCAGAGAGGCGACCAGGGTGAATAAGCTGCTGCTGCTGCTGCTGCTGCCGCTGCCGGGGAAGGGCGGAAAAGGGAGGCAGGAGAGAATCGCAAGGGAACGCGAAGGGAGAAAGAGAGAGAGAGAAAGAAAGAGAAAAGGGATAGATATCGCGCGATTCTGATCAGTGGCGTAGCCAACGTGGGACGAGGAAAAACCGAAAAATTACTCCGCGATCTCCGTCGGACGTGGAATCGCGCCCCCCGAAACTCGCTTCCGCCCCCCTTAATTGCCTTCCGCGGAAAACCGTCGCTCGGCCGGAACGACGAAAGGGCGACGCTCGTCGAGTGTGTCGTGACTCTTTACGAGGAATTGGAGATTGACCGCGAAAAAAGGGCCGAGATCACGCCATTGGCATAGCCGCTGAAAAGAGCGAGATGAAACGAGAGAGGGCCGAGGATGGAAGCTGGCACAATGAGGTGGAGGAAACGAGCGAGGGTGGCTGCGGAAGAAGGGAGAAAATCCCTGCGAGGGCAAGGGCGAGGAGGGAAATGGAAATATGAAAGGGGGGGAAGGGGGACGATCGCACAGGTTAAACCGAGAGGGGACATTGCGCGAGGATGGTCACAGGAGGGGGAGGAGCGGCGCGGATCGGATTGCGTTCGCGGGTTGCATCGGGGG